AAAGTGTCTGTTTTATGAATGGTTCATTGAATCACTGATTCAAATGATTCATTTAAAACAGCTGATTCACTTGAAACAAGTGGCTGTTTTTACAAACGTAAAATTGAATCGCTGACTCAAATGATTCATTCTAAACAGCTGATTGATTTGTGAATGAAACAGGCAACTGTTTTATGAGTTGATCACTGAATCAATGATTCATTCTAGACAGCTGATTGATCTGGATGAAACAAGTGGCTGTTTTTATAAATGTATGAATCACAAACTCAAATGATTCATTCAATTCAGCTGATTTGTAAAGGGAAACAAGTTTTTTTTTTAACATATGGATCATTGAATCGATGATTTGAATGAGTCATTAAAAAGAAATGGTTGATTTGAAACTAATGTCTGTTTTTATGAATGGATCTTTGAATCACTGACTCAACTGATTCATTACAACCGCTGATTGATTTACAAATGAAAAGTGTCTGTTTTTATGAATGGTTAATTGAATCACTGATTCAAAAGATTAATTCAAAACAGTCGATTCATTTGAAACAACTGGCTGTTTTTACAAATTCAAAATTGAATCGCTGACTCAAATGATTCATTCTAAACAGCTGATTGATTTGTAAATGAAACAGGCAACTGTTTTATGAGTGGATCACTGAATCGATGACTCAAATGAGTCATTAAAAACAGCTGATTGAGTAGAAACAAGTTTCTGTTTTACAAACGTATAACTGAATTGCTGACTCAAATGATTCATTCAAAACAGCTGATTGATTTACACGAGAAAAGTATCTGTTTTCATAAATGGTTCATTGAATCACTGATTCAAATGTTTCATTCAAAACAGCCGATTCATTTGAAACAAGTGTCTGTTTTTACAAACGTATAATTGAATCGCTGACTCAAATGATTCATTCTAAACAGCTGATTGATTAGTAAATGAAACGGGCATCTGTTTTATGAGTGCATCACTGAATCGATGACTCAAATGATTCATTCAAAACAGCTGATTCATTAGAAACAAGTGTCTGTTTTTACAAACGTATGATTGAATTGCTGACTCAAATGATTCATTCTAAACAGCTGATTGATTTGTAAATGAAACAGACATCTGTTTTATGAATGGATCACTGAACTGATGACTCAAATGATTCATTCAAAACAGCTGATTGATTTACTAATAAAACAAGTGTCTTATGGATGGATCATTGAATCACTGACTGAAATTGTTCATTCAAAAGAGCTGATTGATTTAAAACAATTGTAAGTATCTGTTTTTATGAATGAATCATTGAATCACTGATTCAAATGATACTTTAAAAACAGCTGATTTATTTACAAGCGAAACAAGTGTTTTTTTACGAATGGATCATTGAGTCACTGACTCAAATGATTCATTCTAAACAGATGATTGATTTGTCGATGAAAGTATCTGTTTTTTATGAGTGGATCATTGAATTGCTGGTTCAAATGATTCATTCAAAACATCGCATTGTTTTATAAATGAAACAAGTGTCTGTTTTTTATGAATGGATCATTGAATCGATGGCTTAAAAGATTCATTCAAAATAGCTAATTTATTTGAAACAAGTGTCTGTTTTACAAACCTATAACTGAATTGCTGACTCAGATGATTCATTCAAAACAGCTGATTCATTCAGGGAGGAAAGGGGTTTGTTATTAGGGATTTTTGTTGAGGAAACTGGGGAAAAAGCATTTTGACAGACACTTATTTATCTAAAATGACTCATTTACTATGACTTTTGAATGTTGTATTTAATCTATATACTGTAATAGTTGCTATGATTTGTAAAATGGCACTCTTACTTGTGTTATTTTACCGAACAGTATCATGTATAACTTGAATTATAGGATCATTATGATATGAACTGCTTGCTGATGGTCTTCATCACACACTCAATGCTTTTAGACTCTTTTTTTTTTAAGGCTGTTTTTGCTTTTTTGCACTGCATGTTTCACAATAAATGCTTGTGACTTTGCTGTTAAGCTGTAATGTCACAATATTTCGCTTCTGTTGCACAACTATCAGAGTAAATGAAGCTCAGTCTCGGTTTGTGCTGTTGTCAGTGTTCAGAGAGACGAACTCAAGTAGCAAAGCAACTAAAAACATTGGTCTGATATGAAAACAGGAGGGTTCCAGGGTTTCTCAGCTGCATTTCTGGATCTGTTGCATTAATAAACAAGTGAACTGATGGATGATTGCAATTATCCGGGTCATGGAGAGCTCTGAGGATTGTTTCTTGTATCCAAATGCTTGATGTCTGTTTTTGTAGATATGAAAGTCTATATTTATTATGCACTGCTGTACATAATTAAACCCTAATTATGTATATATATATATATATATATATATATATATATATATATATATATATATATATATATATATATATATATATATATATATATATATATATATATATATATATATATATATATATATATATATATATACACACACACACACACACACACACACACACACACACACACACACACACACATACACACACACACACACACACACACACACACACACACACACACACACACACACACACACACACACACATAATATTTATATATATATATATATATATATATATATATATATATATACTATCTATCTAAATATCATTCATTATATATATATATATACATACATATATATATATATATATATATATATATATATATATATATATATATATATATATATATATATATG